GGTGTGACTCCAAGGCGCGTGCTTGGACTTCGCTGCCACAGAGATAATTTATTCCTTAGTGACAGGAAAAGTGCCATTGCCTTGCAGGAAGCCATGGGACTTGTGTGGAAGGATGGAAAAGACCTTGGTATCTGTTAAGGCCCAGTAGGTATTTTAGATTTATTACCCATTACTGCAGTCCCAAGATTGTGCTGTTTGGGGATTTTTCATGTTGGAAGAGGTGTTTTGGAGTCACTTTCCTTCCTGAGGGTTTTACAAAGCAGGAAGTGCAAATATTTAAGTTCTTGTCCCTTAAAATTTGCCACATTTTAATAGAATTCCAGGTGAAATTAGGTAGTATTTCTGAATCCCTCAGGCTACACTTATATCTCCACATCTTTCTATGACTACCTCCCTGCATCATGCAGACCATGCTTGGTGCTATAGTTAATCTTACAGAGAAGGTATCAAACCTTTTAAGAAGCTCAGCAAATACACTAATGGAAAGATTTCCATTAACAAAAGAGACTTTTAGCTTGAGGACCATACAGATGCTTCTATTGCAAACTGATTAATTTCAAAGGCACCATGGAGCTGCATGGCCAAGAGGACACTCCTTAGATAATGTATTGACACTAGCAAGAACTATGATGAAAGACTGACCCAAGAATTCTACTACATAAGCTGGGGTACTGTCATCAGCAACATGACAAATAGCTGTAAAATTCATTCTATTCAGAAACTAAGCAACTGCTAAAAGAGTCCCAGATCAGAGTTAGAGTTTAAAAGAAAAAGATAAATGAATAAACATGTACCAAGAGTTTGCAGCCTTATAACTTACAGATTTTATTGTCTTTCATGACTAATTGGAGATTAAGCAAGAAAAGGGAATATGATACATTAACAGCATTAAACATCCCACACACCAAGAGGAAAACGAAGAGCAGGACTCACGCTTACAAACAAAAAGCACACTCATCAGTGGACAGCAACTTCAAAGCACATTTACAAGTGTTTGGTGATTAAAAGCAGGAAAAGCAGAGGTGATCTACAGTCTCTAAGCAAAGGAGGAAGAGTGTTCAGGGCCATATCCATATCCAAATGAGCCAGGAGGGAAGCAGCAGCAGCAGAGCGCTGCCTGCCCTTTGCCGAGTGGGTTTAGTTTCCACAGCAGCCACCGCTGCCACCGCCGCAGCAGCCACTGTTATTGCTCACGGTGTAGCAGCAGGCCTGCATGGGCATGCAGCAAGTGGTGGGGTAGCAGCACTGCGTGGGCTGGCAGCACACTGGTGTCTTGCAGCACTTGGGGCTGCTGTAGCAGCACACGGTGTAGTTATTTCCACCGCAGCATCCGCAACCTCCGTTGGGCATGTTGTTGGTAGTCGCGTAGGCAAAGCTGGAAGGAACAGAGAGAATCTGTCTGTGACTGGGAGCAGGATATTTGGAAATACAGAATTCATTCGAAACTCTGGTTATGCTGAATTCAGAGATTCAACGAGCTGCAGCCAAGTTCTGTCTTTTTCTTCTATAGTAAATCTTGCTCGTAACTCCTCGCTATCCATTTCCTGCAATGTAGATGCTCACCTACTCATACCAGCACAGAGAATTATAGAGTCATAGAATCATAAAATAGGGTTGGAAAGGATCTTAAGGTCGTCTAGTTACAACCCCCCTGCCATGGGCAGGGACATCACTCATTAAACAATGTCAACCAAGGCTCTGTCCAACCTGATTTTGAACACTGCCCGGGACGGAGCATTCACAACTTCCTTGGACAACCTGTTCCAGTGCCTCACCATCCTCACGGTAAAGAACTTCTTCCTTAGCGAGAACCACACAATTTTCAGTCTTCGCCTCCCTGAAAAGTTCTTGGTTCCCTGGCTGTGCATGGCCCTGCTCATTCTCCTGTAGCCTCTCCATCCTTTTAGCTGGTCCCCATGATTCCTAGCACACAGTTCATAAAAGCCCAACTTCAATGTCCCATTCCAGACACCCCATCATAGTTGGATAGTGCTATAAGATATCAAAGCATTTTTCTTTTATGGAAGGAAGGAAGAGTTAGGTGTTCTCACTTACCCTGCTGGAGAGTGAGGAGAGGTGAATGAAAGAGAAGATGAGTGAATGAAGCACGGTGGGCCAGGAGACCTTTTATACTCCTAGACACCTTCCTCCTGGAAGTGAGACAGCCATTGGACATTTGAACTTCCCTGTTTACTAACCCAAACCCATACTTTTTAGATTTACGTGTCTTCTGCTATTTACTCTTTGCCTTATTATTTGTGATCACTACCTTTGTTTTGCCTCATAATTGCTTAGCCTGAAGATAATCAAAGGGCTGCTATGAATACTAATGAATTTGTCTTCTCTGCAACCTTGCAAGGGAGCCAAAAAATGTGTCCTCCTATCTGCTTGACAAATGCAGACAGTGACAGCCGAAGATGCTAAGGGACTTACTCAGCAGCGGCTTGGTGCTGAATCAGTGGCAGAGCCGAAACTGAATCCCTGGGAAGAGTCTTTCGGGCACGTGAGAGGCTGTTTCATTGGAATGGTGTTTGAAACACGTATTTGGAAGATTTCATGAAAATGGGTATTTTCCTTCCCAGTCATGTGCATGTGAGGAGGGAGTGAGAAGACCATGTGTTTGGGATGTGTTGGAGTCATGTCGGCTCCCGAGTTGCAGTCACCTGCATGTGACTGAATGAAAGATCATCTTGCCCTCATGCATGCAAAGAGCATCTTTGTGATGCCAAAGCCATCTTTGCCTTTTGGCTTGTCTAAACTTTTGCAAACCTTTCCAATCTGGTGGGTTTAGGTTTGCATATGGGCACCTCTAGTGTAGAAGTGTTCCAGTTCCTGCTCTGCTTTGCTTCCCTAAAAACATATTCTGGAATTCTGAATAGAATATTTGCTTCAGAATCTTTTGCTTTTCAATGGGAAAGCAAAGGACCAGCACTGCTTGTGCAAGCAGCAACACAACGAGCCATGGCTCTGGGACTGGGGCATTGCAAGTCAACATGTCCTGTCTGCAACGTTGCCTTGCAGCCAGCTGAAATCTCCTTGTGTGCTGGAGCTCTGGCACTCAGGAGAACCAGCACTGCCCAGCTCCTCATCAAGGAGTTGGAGGTTGTTCAGGACTCTCTGAGTGTTGCAGGTGGTAAAAGAAGGAGCCCAGCATGGACCAAGAGGGTGAGAGGAAGGTGGATGTGACAAGCACAGAAAACTGGTTCTAACTGAGGTCATGGAGCTAAGTGGGTGGCAGGGACTCAGAAGTGATGCAGGAAGAGACCTGGTTGAGGTGGAACCATTTACTGGGAGGGAAAGAAAGAGGAAGATCATGGTAAGGTAGAGCCTTGGGCAGCTGAGCCAGTGTGGATGAATGCTTACTTGATGCCAGCCACTACCTCCAATGCACTTCGCTGTGAGGCTGAATGCTGGCAGGAACACCAAGGGTATTTGCGTGGAATTTTTTGCCTGGCCTACAATTGCAGCTCTCATTTGAAGACCTTGACACATTATCCTGAGAGGAGTGCACCCTAATGAGAGGATGGTGGAGCCTGCCTGGCGAGTTCCCTGTCTGCTGCCTTACATTCTCTAGGATCCCTGGGATGCTCCCAAGAGGGGTTGTCCTAGATGAGCTGCTACCATCCCTGAGGATGATGAGAGCCTTGGTTTGCTTTCTGCACAGTGCAAGGGTGAGCAGATTGTGATTTCAGTGCTGCAGTAAATGCAGCCAGCTTCTTCCCAAGCTTTCCTGGAATAAGAGCAATTCCTTGAGCGAGATGCTGGAGAAGCAGCGCATGTAATTGCAACATCTCCAGACAGGGAAGAAGAACATGCATGGTATTTCCTTTCCTCAGAGGTGCATTGTCAGGATGCATGCTTGCCCATGGGAACTGAATAGTTTACAAGGAATTAATGGAGCAGAAGCAAAGGGACACACCTTCACTTGTGCCTCCAGAGGGGAATTTCTCAGTGGGAAATCCTGAAACTGCAAGAAGAAGTAATGGTTTAGATGGGCATTTCCCACCCACGATAGTTGTGTCCAGCCATTCATGTACCCTTGGGATTTGCATGGTCTTTGGCGTGTGGTCTATGGATCTTAATGCAAAGAAGGGACTGATGTGGGATGGAAGCAGAGTCAGTAAAGGGCATTAGACACAGAATGAAGACTGTGGTGCAGATCTTGCATGTCATTTTGGCACAACCCTTAGTGACCTAGACCCTCCTTGGAGATGATGGAGGTTTCTCACCATTTCTCTAACGCTTTAACTCAGTATCTGGTAACCTAGACATTTTAGCAGAGGCAAGACCTCCATCTCATAAATTTATAGGGATTGTCTGTAGGTTCAACCACCTGGTTGAAATACATGAACTTCTCTAGCTGGGATGTACCTGTGTCAAACTATTTCAGAAAGAATTCACATCCTTTACAAGTTTATGTGTTATGTTCTTCCCACTTCTTTGTAGTCTTACAGAGAGAGGAGAAATGTTTTTCATAGAGATGTCAGACACTCAGTTTGTGTTTGAATAGACCCAAGCAGAAGCTCAGAACTCCATCAGGGATGTGTTGGTTTTCTTTGTGCAGGCAAACCCCCTTAGTTAGCATCCCAACACTGGGAAAAAGCAAAGAAAAGGTGATAGGTGCAGTGTCACACTCTGGATTCACCAGCTAGCAAACAGAAAACCACCAAGGAACTTAGCAGGCTCATGAACTACAGATTTTATTGGTATTCAGACAGATTGAAGCAATACAGTGATGAAAAGAATTAAACATCCCACACACCAAGAGGGAAATGAACAGCAGAACTCACGTTTACAAACAAAAATCACACTGATAGCAACTTCAAAGCACATTTACAAGTGTTTGGTGATTAAAGGCAGGCAAAGAAGAGAGGTGATCTACAGTCTCTAAGCAAAGGAGGCAGAGGGTTCAGGGCCATATCTATATCCATATCCAAATGAGCCAGGAGGGAAGCAGCAGCAGTAGCAGCAGAGCGCTGCCTGCCTTTTGCTGGGTGGGTTTAGCAACAGCAGCCACCATTGCCACCGCCGCAGCAGCCACTGTTACTGTTCACAGTGTAGCAGCAGGTCTGCGTGGGCATGCAGCAAGTGGTGGGGTAGCAGCACTGCGTAGGCTGGCAGCACACTGGTGTCTTGCAGCACTGCATGGGCTGGCAGCACACTGGTGTCTTGCAGCATGACTTCCTGCTGCTGTAGCAGCACACAGTGCAGTTACTTCCACCGCAGCATCCACAACCTCCGTTGGGCATGTTGTTGGTAGTCGTGTAG